AAGCACGCTCCACGCCCAGCATGGAGCCTTATTCAGGGCTTGATCTCAGGACCCTGAGATCAAGACCTGAGAAGAAATCAAGAGTCAGATGCTTAACAACTGAGCCGCCTAGGCACCCTCTACTGATTCTTCTTTCACAACATATTGTGAGTCTGACCACGTAGCACTATGTGCATTGCTACTACCCTGCTGAGCCATCATCATCTCTCACTAGGACTACTGGAACAGTCTCCTACCTAGTCTCTGTTTCCACCTTGCTCACTACAGTCTATTCTCAACACAGCAGCCAGAGTGGTGCTTTTAAAATGTCAAATTAGATGCGATCACTTCTTTGCTCAAACCCCTCTAAATGGTTCCTTTATTTTATTCAAGCTAAGAGCCAAAGTCCTTACAATGGCCTACAAAGTCCCCAAATCTGCCCCACTCCTGCTTGTCATTTGCCTTTCTGATGTCATCTACTATTCTTCCCTGCTCACTCTTGCTCTTCCCTCTTGCTTGCCTCTCTCCAGCCATACTGGCCTCCCTGCTATTCCTTGAATATACCAAGCACACTGCTGCCTCAGGACCCTTGCATTTAGTCTTCCCTCTCCCTGGATGACCCTCTTTCTCCCGTATCTATCTGACTGTGCTTTCCATTCTTTGCTCAAATGTCAGTGTGGCCTTCCCTGACTGCTCTACTTAACACTGCGATCAACTTACCTACTCCCCAACCCCTCCCTTTCTTGTTCTATTTCCATAACACTTATCTAATATAATCTAATACACTATATAATTCTATAATACCATCTAATATACTATATAATTCACTTAATTTCTTTATGGTCTCTCTCCGCACACCAAAATATAAGATTCATAACAGGGATTTTTTTTTGTCTGTTTTCTTCATTGTGCAATTCCTACCATACAGAACAGTATGTAACACATAATTGGTTTTCAATAAAGATTTCTTGAAAACCTGACTAAATTGAAAGAACAAGCAAATGTAAGAAAGAACAGGAAAGAGAGAAAAAGGAAAAGAACAGAAGACAGAAAAAAGGAGAAAGGAAAAGAGAGAGAAGAAAAGGAAAGGAAGAAACTTGTCCCAAGCAATGCAACAAGTAATATGGTACAGCCATGGTAAGCCAGATTTGCTTGGCTTCAAAGCCCATACCATTCCATTGCAGCATCAGTTAAGAAGCTTCTAAACAAGTATCTTAAGAATTGAAATAAGCTCAATAAGCAGCAGCATAAAGAAGAAAAAAAAGTAAAAAAAGGCAAGATATCTTTCCTGAAATACAATTAGAAAATGATTAAATCAGAACTATTTATTCAGAATTCAACTTTAAATAATACATTTCTCCAAACTACAGAAGTATACATATTTTTTTAAATTTTTAAAAAGATTTTTATTTATTTGTCAGAGAGAGACAGAGAGAGAGCACACACATGAGCAGGGGGAAGGGACAGGCAGAGGGAGAAGCAGGCTCCGCACTGAGCAAGGAGCCTGATGTGGAACCTGATCCCAGAACCCTGGAACCTGAGCTGAAGGCAGATGCTTAACCAATTGAGCCACCCAGGCATCCCCAAATCTTTCCTTTAAAACAGCTAAAATTAAAGATAATTTTAAAAAAATATTTTATTTATTTGACACAGAGAGAGAGCACAAGTAGACAGAGCGGCAGGCAGAGGGAGAGGGAGAAGAGAGCCTGATGTGGGGCTCAATCCCAGGACCCTGGGACCATGACCTGAGCCGAAGGCAGATGCCCAACCGACTAAGCCACCAGGCACCCCAAAATTAAAGATAATTTTGGTAGGATTGGAGACTTCTGCTTGCAGAAGAGCCTGATGTGGGGCTCAATCCCAGGACCCTGGGACCATGACCTGAGCCGAAGGCAGATGCCCAACCGACTAAGCCACCAGGCACCCCAAAATTAAAGATAATTTTGGTAGGATTGGAGACTTCTGCTTTCAACCAAGATAAAGTAACAGGGACTGGATTTACCCTTCCAAAACCATCCCCACAATAAATAAAAGACAAAAATATACGAGACATTGGTTTATAGCACACTGAACATCAGGCAAAAAAGAAGAGTGATCCCTGAGAGGCAGGAAATAAATGAGGTGAGACCCAGGAATACCCTCAACTAATGCCTTGAGAGAAGGGTGTAGGCCACAGGATAGGGAAGGGAGACATAGGCAGAGCCCAGCAGAGTCCCTGAGTTGAGGAGACAGAGCTGAGAGTCTAGGGAGAACAAGCAAAGGAGAGAGAGGTACACACAGTGCAAAGCTTTGATCTGTGAGTGTCCCCCTTGAGCATCCAGGGGAGTACTGACTGGCATGTGTGTGTGAGAAAACTATCTGAGGCCAGAAAAAGAACCATCTATGAGGATTAGAAAAAACAGTACCTGGTACCAGGATCACTGCCTGTTCCTACTGACCAGGCTAAAAAAGCCCCAATTTCATGGGGGCATTGGGTAGAGTACTCCAAAGTGGGAAATAGTGATACCTAGACTGAGCACTGCTCCAATCATAAAAGGAAGACTTAAATGATATAAACCGTTTCTAAGTAACTTAACTGTGTCCCAGACCAAAGCTCAAGAGGAGGTATAGGAATACAAAAATATGTGGCAACCACTAAGGTAAAACTAACAATGTCTGACATCAATTCAAAGATTAGCAGGCATATAAAGAAGCAGGAAAATCTGACCAAAACTAGGTAGAAACATGAATAGTTCAAAACTGATTCAGCACTGACAGTGCTACCAGAATTAGGACATGTGGACATTACAAGTTATTAAAACTGTATTCCAGATGTTTAAAAACCTAACTAAAGACATAGTAGACATAGAAAAGAAAAAAAAAGGCCTTAATCAAGTTTACAGAGCAGAAACCTGCAATGTCTGAGACTGAGAAGTACACTGGATGAGATTAATGGCAAACTGGACATTGCAGAAGATGCTAGGACTTGAAGACCTAAAAATAGCAACTATCCAAAATGAAATACAGGGAGACAAAGGAATTTTTTTAAATGGAAAAAAAGCATCAGTGAGCTGTAGAACAATTTCAAACAGCCTAATATATGTGTAATTGGAGTCTCTAAAGAAGATGAGAGAGGGGTGGGCCAGAAAAACTGATCAAGAAAATAATGGCTGAGAATTTTCTGAATTTGATGGAAGCTGTACATTCACAGATCCAGTAAGAACAGAATCATGAAGAAAACCACACAAAGGCATATTGTAACCAAGTTGCTGAAACCAGTAATAAACAAAACTATAAAAGCAGCCACAGAATCGAGCCACGTTACATACAGAGGAATAAAGAAAAAGATGACAGCAGGTTTCTTGTCAGAAATAATGCAAATGGGAATACAATGGAGCAACATCTTTAAAGTACTGAAAGAAAAAAACCCATGTTAGAATTATATACCCAGTACAAATATCTCTCAAAAACAAAGATTTTAGACACACAAAAGCTGAAAGATTTCATCACGAACAGACCTGACTTACAAGAAATGCCAAAGAAAATCCTTCAGACAGAAGAAAAATGACACCAGATGAAGATATGTGTCTACACAAAGAAATGAAAATGTGCAACTACATATAGGGATGCGGCAATGATATTCCACTAATAAATATGTAAGATTTTAAAAAATATCGAACTCCTTTAAAACATAATTGACTTTTTAAAAAGTAACAACACTGTATTCTGTGTTTTATTAAATAGGCATAAGTAAAATGTATGACAAGAACATAAAGGCCAGGAGGTGCAAAATAATGGTATATTATTTTAAGACTCATGCTATATGTGAAGTGGTGAACAATTACTTGAAGGTAGACTGTAAGTTAAAGACTGTACGTGAGTGTTCAGAGCAATTCATGTGTAATAGCCAAAAACCGAAACCAACCCAATGATCTATTAACACATGAATGGATAAACTGGGGTATATTCATATAATAGAAAGCTATTTACAATAAAACTACTTAGTGAAAAAAGATGGTATGTTGATACAACAAAATGGATAAATCATAAAATAATTATATACTGTATGACCATATTTATATAAAACTCTACAAGACACAAACTCATTTATAGTGACAGAAAACAGATCAGTAGTTGCTTGGTGCTGAGGTGGGGCAAGAGAGAGATAAAAAGGGGCACAAAGGAACTTTTGGAAATTATGGATATATTGTCTGTGGCAATGGTTTCATGTGTGTCTGCGTGTGTGTGTGTGTGTGTGTGTGTGAAAATGTATTAAGTTGTACACATTAAATATGTGCACGTTACTGTATATGGATAATTCCTCACTAAGGCTGTTTTAAAACCATTTAGGATTTAAATGTGCAGGTTAAAAACCAAAAGTGGTTAGACTACCTACAGTGTTCTGGCACTACAAGATTAAAAATAAAAGAGATGAAAACTAGAACAAAATATTTGTAATATTTTTAAAGGTTAGAATGGATCACAGAAACCAATTAATCAAAATCTTTCCTTACTAGAGATAAAGGAACCAGGTCCCAGAGGGCTGCAGTGACTTGCCTGGGGTCGCACAGTTACAGTCAGTAGCTTACTAAACTGTATGAGCCACAATGGCAGCAGGGAACAGGTTATTCAGGTCATCATTACATCCCCTAAACCTACAGCAATGCCTGGGAACTCAGTAAGTATTTGTCGACTGATGGTTCCCCTGGAAGGAAAAGTAAAAAATGAAGATAAAAGGAAAGAAAATCCCCCTTGCAATATGACTGCATGTTTTTTCCTGTCTGTAATTCTCCCATCTCTCTCACACAGATGAGGGAATTAAGCAATAGCTTTAATACATAAACATCATGAATACAAGAGAATAAATTATATTCCTTATCTTTGTTTTACTGAATACTTTATTATATTCTCATGCTTAAAAAGTTCTAGTTCATGTTGCCAACTCTTAAACAAGCAGGAAAGTCAATAGGAAATACTCCATTCATGAAGATTAGTGACATTTTCAAATTAAAAACAAATTTAAAGAATAGTGAAATACTTACCAAAAATTTCTCCATTTTTGGCATATTCTGTCACAAGGTATAACATATTTTTGGTCTCCATTACCTATTGATAAAAAATTCCGTATTAGTCTGATAGGAAAGGATTGCAATTCTATTCTACTGAGACTCAACATTCTATGGAGTTACTAAATAAAACTACTAATAAAAGTATCAAATTTATGAATAATTCAGAAGGTGGGTAAGTTTACAAGACTGATAATATCCTTCTGCTAACGATTTGTGAGAAATCTAGATGCTCACTTTTCCAAGCGTGGTCCATGGACCGGCAGCAGCGGCAGCACTGTGCGGGCAAATGTTAGAAATGCAGAATCTCAGGCCCCACCCCGGACCTACTGACACAGAATTTCTATTTTAACAAAAATGTGATTGTTATGCACATTCAAGTTAAAAAATACGAATACAAGTAACAGGAATTTTGAAGATCAACTTTTTACCACCTTCTCACAGACTTTTCTAGCCCTGTGCTATGGGTAGACTTTGATCAAGAATAAGAGAGATAAATAAAATAAAGCTCAGTTTATCAGGCCTGTAGCCTGGATCATCTGGCACAATAGGATATTCCTCCTACTATACTGTGATATTGTTACAAACTACTGTTATTTTAAAATCACTACTCAAAAGCTTCTTCATAACTCCACTGCTAGACATTTTTATTCGTTTTTCTAGGTTCAGAAAGGAAGCATGTCAGTGTGACAAATGATATTTCAACCTATACTGAACCAAAAGAAAATGAATTTATAAGTACAAAATGAGTGAATTTTAGAATCTCTGTAACACCATCCTTTCTGTACTGGCACATAACAATGAAAATTTAACCGTTATCTACTAAAGGGCTGGAAATTGATTTTGCCCTAACATGCAGGTTTAGGACTATTCCCAATCAGGCCAGAAAACTAAGAACTACGTACAAGTGGAGTCTAAATAAGATAAATAGTAAGTCAATTTAACTGTTTGTTTAGCTCAAATACAGATGGAATTCTGTGAATCATGGTAGTTTTAACCTTAGTTTGGCTTATGGTTCATCAGACTTCTAAGGATGTGGATTAGTTTCTTATAAGTATCCTCTTTAGGGGGGAAAAAAAAAGCTTAAAAGGAGAAATACTCTGATATAAATATCACCAAAGAAGCCTTCTGCAGTTTTAGAACTGTTTTTGAGTGGCGCACCATGTTCTCTCATTCTAATAATACTAATGGTCTCTAATGGTCTCCAACGGTCTCCACACCTTTTTAATTGCAAATCTCTATCAGTAACAAGCTGTTTAGCCAAACGTGTATTACACATTCATGTACATGTATATATACACAAACATATGCGTATGTTTATATGAATATAAGCAGATACAAATTACATACTTGTGTCACTGTATAAACACATTATATACATTATAGAATGCACACAAGAAGATAGATATAAAAAGTAAGCACAGAAGTTCTAATATTTTCTTATTATGCCTAAGAGACACTTGTGCTAACCCACGTGAGTGCACATAGTAGTGTGCTAGTATTAGCTCTCTGTGGAAAAAAAAAAGGCCCTAACTTGTAAACAGCTTTCTATGGTGTAAATACTCCCACCATAGCTGATTTTGAGCTACTAACATGTTATTAGTTGGTCTGCAAAACATCTGAAAATTTAACAATCGGTTCTTACAAGCCAGTACAGGCTGAGTCCAGCATACCATTGGGTGTACACATCACACTATGGAGATTAAAGTTATAGGCTAGCATACTGTAACATTTTAGTCTAAAAATAGTTTTCCAATAGGGGTGCCTGGGTGGCTCAGTGCTGGACTCTTGATTTTGGCTCAGGTCATGATCGGTGCTGGACATGGAGCCTGCTTAAGATTCTCTCTCTCCCTCTCCCACCCCCCCCTTACTCTCCTCCCCTCTAAAAAAAGTTTCCTAATATAAGAATTCTACATATTAATGAATAAAGTGTTAAAAAGTTTCATATTACATTATCATTCCTCAATATGAATTACTCTTTAAAAACCAGAGATCTTTTTTTTGAACTATACAAAAAATACAAAAGTGTATTCCAAAGGATAGCAATCCTTTGAACTGTTAAAATAACTGATAATTATTTTAAACACATTTAAATGTAGCACATATCTTAGAGACCCACAGAATAATACCATCTCACTCGTTAAGATGAGATCTTTTTTTTTAAGGCTTATTTATTTTAGAGAAAGAGAGAGAGCACGTGTGGGTGGGGGGAGCGGCAAAGGGAGATGGGGAGAGAATCCCAAGCAGACTCTGCGCTGAGCACTGAGCTGGCCACGGAGCTGGATCCCAAAACTCCCAAGATCAAGACCTGAGCTGAAACCAAGAGTCAGACACTTAACCAACTAAGCCACCCAGGCACCCCGGAGAATATCATCCTTTTAAAAAACACAGTTTACACTTGAAATGGGTACAATTATTTTATAAAAATTGTATCTCAATAAAGTTAATTTTTTAAAAAAATGTCTCCTTTACTTTATCTGACAAAACAACCCAAACAAACATAAGATTTGACTCTAAGTATTACCAAATATGCCACTAAATAATACACTATTTTAACCTTTGTATTTCAGAAAACATTAACTGTATTTTTTTTATTAAGCAAAACTGCCATATCCTCATTTATGGTACCACCACCAAAAGTCAACAGGCTTGAATATCATAAATACACAACTATAAACTTTTTAATTAAACAACTTACAGTGTGGGAGAGAACTTAAAATTAAGCTACTAGTTTTTTATTTCCTAATTTTTTACTTAAATATAGAAAATGGGTACTCAGCTTAACAAAACCCATATAATTATTCCTTTTTCTATGGACTAAAAAAAACTAACATAAAAGAGAAAGATGATGCAAAAGAGAAAACAGGATGTGAGAAGCATGGAGAGGAATAAGGTTACATCCTACCTGATAAAGTTTGATGATGTGAGGGTGGTCTAACATTTTCATTATTTGTACTTCTCGGTAGATTTTCTCAAGGTTCACTGCATCCAGCTGAGATTTATCTATTATTTTTATCGCCACCTGTGTCCCAGGCACAAATAAATACAATTAGTATATGATGGTTAACATTTTCCAGTTAAGAATCTTTTGAATATAGGGCACCTGATACTTTGCCTGTAAGTTCCTAGGACAACAAAAATACTTGAAATTCAATGCTCATTCATTCAACAAGTTATTTCTTAAACATCTACCACATGTGACGCACTGTGGTGATTTTGTTTAGGAGTTATCTTCAGTGTGCTAAGAAGAACCCTGCAGAGTTACTTTAATAGAACATTATTTCTCTTTTAATATAACTGTAATGTTTTACTCCACTTATAAACTGAAGAAATAAAAGCTCACCAGCTTCAACCAGTTATCAGCCTGTTGCAAAGTACCTGTAAATAAATGATCAGCCAAGTAGAAGGCAGGTTCCGCTGTACTAAAATACAGCTTTTCGAGAAAAGCAAGTGATAGATTCCAAAGAATACAGATATAGCTTTCTGGGGGAGGTGGGGAGGTTAAATATATAAAGTATTAAAATCTATTTATATGAAAGATACTAACTGGATTAAACTTTGTTTTTTAAAAGTTATTTATTTATTTATTTGAGAGAGAGAGCGCACACACAAATGGGAGGAGGGGGAAGCACGATCCCCGCTGAGCAGGGAGCCCAACGTGGGGCTCAATCCCAGGACTCTGGGATCACGACCTGAGCCAAAGGGAGACGCTTAACTGACTGAGTCACCCAGGTGCCCCTAAACTTTATTTTAAAAATCAAAGTGCAAAAACTCATCTGTTAGTAATTACACTGGCTTTTGACTTCCTTAAAAGAATCTGATTTTTAAGAATGTGGCCTCTTCCTATCATAACTAGATAGGAACCCAAACCACTCCAAGGTTAACAATTTGAAGGAACTGCATTTGAAGGTGAATATCTAGGTAGTCAAAAATCAAGAATCATGTACCTTTTTCTATGCAATCAAAAAAGAACTTTTTTCTTTTTTTTAAGAAATTGTAGCTATTTGGTTCGGAAATAAGCCTTTTTGATTTAACTAAAATTTTCAGATCACTAGGGACCACTCAAACTTGATTATAACAAGTTCTGAAGAAACTCTAAAATGTACTTCATAGTCTACCAAAAAGTATTCTGAACATAACTCAGTTTTATGTTGTTTCAAGATAATTATTATCAATTATTGTATGTGCTATATATAACAGTTCGATACTTCTAAAAGGTATCCAAGGATATAGGACTCAGCTTGTCAATTCACTTAATTTCTTCAGACTCCTATTTATATAGTTAGTTTTTTCTTCTTTCCTATGGCTGCTTTGTCCTTTGCTGTTACCTCTTAAAGCTCTACTATAAGGTTTATTTCTTACCAATATCTATTTCTAATTTGCTGTCCACAGCTTATTTCCTGATTTGAATTAATTGTAACCCAGAGAAGAACTCAAGCTTCCCAGGGGAAATCAGATTACTAAATATAATGCATAAAATTAAATTTACTACCTAAGAAGAAAGGGGGTAGTTCCTTCTCTGGACAGTAAAGTCCATAGGTTTTGTGATATTTTCATTATGTTTGGTGGTGTATTATTTCCATAATCAAAATATCCTAGAAAGTAAAGGGTACTAAACTTTGCTAGGTAAGGACACTGATCAATATTGTACTTGATATTAAGGACATTATTGGACCACCGCAATATTTATTTAAATTTAAATAGATTTTTAAAAAAGATTTTATTTATTTATTTGTCAGAGAGAGAGAGAGAGAGAACACAAGCAGGAGGAGTGGCAGGCAGAGGGAGAAGCAGGCTCCCTGGGAGCCTGATGTGGGACTCAAACCCAGGATCCTGGGATCATGACCTCAGCCGAAGGCAGCTGCTTAACCAACTGAGCCACCCAGGCATCCCTAAATTTAAATAGATTTAAAGCAACCTCCTCCTCCTCAATTTCATGATATAGTATTATTAGTTACTTTAGGTAAAAGCTGCCAGATAAAAGAATAAGTGTATATTTTAATTTCCCCAATATTCCTTAGGAAGGTAATATGGAGTTTCACAGACACGCTTATTTTGAAGAAAATGTCTTGCCCTCCAAATGCTGGAGCATGTCTAGATATCCCCCTCACCAAAAAAAAAACCTTTTGTAAGGAAATGGGTCAGAACCTATTAATAAAAAGGATATCTTGATTATCATATCTTTAACACTATAATGTTAAAGAAAAACTTTAGACACTAAATTCCAATTAAAGCAAGGTATTACCAAGAGATACCTCATACTCTTTTTTTAAAACCCTGGCCTCAAACAATGAAAAACTGAAAAATACATAAATTATCTAAATAAACCTTAATAAGTCATAAATCTCATTATTCAACTTTTCTCAACCAAAAAATTCTCAAATGACAAAATCAAATTCTCTTCAGTTTTATCTTATAAATATATGAACCACACGTGTACCTACTTATATCTTTACCCTGTTATCCCTTGCTTGTAAGTCTTGTAAGGATTATGAAAAAGTAAAGCACTAAACAAAAAGCAGAGCATGTGTTAGCATGCTCCTTTTAATAGTTAGGGCTTTTATTAATGTGATGTATCACACTGCCTGATTTGCGGATGTTGAACCACTCTTGTAGCCCAGGAATAAATCCCACTTGGTCGTGGTGAATAATCCTTTCAATGTACTGTTGGATCCTATTAGCTAGTATCTTGGTGAGAATTTTTCCATCCATGTTCATCAAAATACCATTAACATTTTTCACAGAGCTGGAGCAAACAATCCTAAGATTTGTATGGAATGAGAAAAGACCCTGAATAGCCAAAGTAACGTTGAAAAAGAAAAGCAAAGCTAGAAGCATCACAATTTCAGACTTCCAAGTTGCATTACAAAGCTGCAATCATCAAGACAGTATGGTACTGGCACAAAAACAGACATAGATCAGCGGAACAGAACAGAGAACCTAGAAATGGACCCTCAATTCTCTGATCAACTAATCTTTGACAAAGCAGGAAAGAATATCCAATGGAAAAAATAGTCTTTTCAAGAAATGGTGCTGGGAAAACTGGACAGTACATGCAGGAGAATGAAACTGGACCACTTTCTTACACCACACACAAAAATAAATTCAAAATGGATGAAAGACCTAAATGTGAGACAGGAATTCATGAAATCCTAGAGAAGAACACAGGCAGCAACCTTTTTGACCTCAGCCGCAGCAATTTTTTGTTAGACATGTCTCCAAAGGCAAGGGAAGCAAAATCAAAAAATGAACTATTGGGACTTCATCAAGATAAAAAGCTTTTGCACAGCAAAGGAAACCATCAACAAAACTAACAGGCAACCTATGGAATGGGAGAAGATATTTGCAAATGTCTTATCAGATAAAAGGCTAGTCCAAAATCTATAATCTATCAAACTCAACACCTAAAGAACAAAAAAATCCAGGCAAGAAATGGGCAGAAGACACGAACAGCCATTTCTCCAAAGACACATAAATGGGCCAACAGACACATGAAAAAATGCTCAACATCACTTGGCATCAGGGAAATACAAATCAAAACCACCATGAGATACCACCTCACACCTGTCAAAATGGCTAAAATTAACAACTCAGGAAACAACAGATGTTGTTGGCAAGGATGTAGAGAAAGGGGAACCCTCTTACACTGGTGCAGCCACTCTGGAAAACAGTATGGAGGTTCCTCAAAAAGTTACAAGTAGAGCTACCTTATGACCCAGCATTTGCACTACTAGGTATTTATCCAAAGGATACAAACATAGTGATTTGAAGGGGCAGCTGTACCCCAATGTTTATAGCAGCAATGTCCACAATAGCCAAACTACGAAAAGAGCCCAGATGTCCATCAACAGATGAATGGCTAAAGATGTGGTGTGTGTGACACACACACACACACACACACACACACACACACACACACACACACACACAATGGAATATTACTCAGCCATCAAAAACAATGAAATCTCGCCATTTGCAACAATATGGATAGAATTAGAAGGTATTAGGTTAAGTGAAAAAAGTCAGTCAGAGAAAGACAAATACCATATGATTTCACTGATAAGTGGAATTTAAGAAATAAAACAGATAAGCATAGGGGAAGGGAAGGAAAAATAAAATAAGATGAAAACTGAGAGAGAGGCAAACTGTAAGAGATGCTGAACTCTAGGAAACAGGGTTGCTGGAGGGGAAATGGTGGGGGGAAGGGATAAGTGGTGATGGGCATTAAGGAGGGAGGGCACCTGATGTAAGGAGCACTGGGTGTTCTATGCAACTAAAGAATCACTAAATTCTACTTCTGAAACTAATAAAAAAAAGAATAAAAAATAAATTGTTAAGGCTTGAAAAAAAAATAGGGCTTGTCTAACTGCTATGAACAAGTAGACCACAAAATGTATAGTGATTCAAACAGAATAGTTTATTTTTTGCTCATAGCAGAATGGGATGGGTGAAGATGCCTCCATGCAGGCATAGGAGGTTTAAGGACGTTTTACTACTTTTCCAGCCTAACAGGAGAAGGAAACTTGGAGGAGCCCTCACAAGAGGTTTTTACAGGCTAGCCCTGAAGTGGCCCATATTATTTCTGTTCACACCATTAGTTAGAACTCAGTCACATACCCATATCTAAATGCAAGAGACGCCGAGAGTCCAGTGATAGGTCCAGGAAGAAGAGGAAACAGTGGATTTTTAGTGTTCGGCTAGCAGTCTTTGGCATATTCTTCCAGGTAATTTCTGAACAATGGGACTCATTACCAAGTACTTCCCAGAAATATAATGATGATGACTTTCACAACTGCACAGTACTTTTTAATTTCCCAAGATACTTTAACATATTTTATCTCATTTATTTCTCAACTTTGTGAAGTAAATGGAACAAGCAGAGCATCCATGAGTTGATGAAACTGAGGATCCAAAGATGTTACATAATCTACAAAAGGTCCTACAGCTCAAGTGAATTAATGGGAAAAACCGCAGGCCTTCAAACTCCAAGTTCAATCTTCCTACTTTTTCAAAGAGCCTCTC